TAACTTCAGGCATGACATAGCTTATTTGTGGAGCATGTGTTCATACGGTTCTTGTCCGCCCTCTGTTTTGGGGCGTGACAAGTAAAGAGAAAAATATACACAAGACATTCTTTTTTTTCCTCTTATCATTAGAGAATTATGCACTAATTTATGTATGCACTTTCCTGTGGGCACAACGAGGCCCCATCCTATATCTATTACTAAGGAGTCATTTGGTTTGAATTCAAGTTATGTTGGGGATTAGTTATGATGAAATAAGTTATGATGGGATGAGTTATGATGGGATAAGTTATGATAAGATTATTTTTTATTGAGTGTTTGGTTTGTTGTATTCAAAATAATAAATTTTAAAAACAATTTATTTATTTACAAAAATGCCCTTCATGAATGTAAAAAGTGATGTATAAAAAGGGTTTAAAGAGATATTTTTGTCATTTACTTATTTTATCCCGAGATAAGTTATCCCAGGATTACTATACCACCCAAGGGGAGGGATAACTTATCCCAGTACTAATTATTAATCTCGGGATAAGTTATCCCGGACTTGCCAACCAAACAACAAATTAGATGGCACTATAATTTAATCTCAGGACTATTGGGTATTATCCTTCACACCAAACGACCCCTAAGAGTGAAAATTCATCACTTTAAACTGTAAAGTAAAAAATGAGTCACAACCTGATAACTCTTTCTACAACGTCCTACAATTAGCCTTATTGTGATGGTAGGTTCCTCATTTACCATACAAATGTTATTCTCAAAAAATTAATCTCTTAGATACTTTACACTACAAAAGTTATCACGTGGGAATTAGGTATTGATAAATTTAACATTACATTATGGACCCTTTCTTTGGTAAATACCAAGATAGAGGTCAATTTTGAGCAATGTCCAAAACAAACTCACACATGAGTACGTCAAGCAACTCTTTGCTGCAGTCACCATTATCTCTTTAAGCTTATCTAATTGGTTTGATACCTCCTTAGAGCACATAATTATATTGCAGTGCAACAACATTGAAAGTAACTTCATGATAGCAAACCAAGCTTCACATGCTTACTCACACTACAAAGCAGTGTATTTCCTAGTAGACAAGCACAAGTCATTTCCCTACGGCTCAATCACATAGGCAATGAGACTTTGTCAAAAATCCGCTAGAAAACGTAGTTGAGTCCTGATTTACAGAATGCCACAAAAACGAATGGAAGTGGAGATAAGTAAACCACTACAGACCTAAAGGATAATCACAACACAAGTTCATGAATATCACATATAAGGTCCCCATTATCGAAACGACAAGCATCCACTAGATACAGGATCATAGAGATGCCATATCATTCAATCCACTAAGTCTTGTAATGGAGTTCAAACTTCATATTTACCACTACATTTACACACACTTGATAACAATGACTTTGAAGGGGCTCACAAAAATTCTTTCTCCCTTTTTCCCGGATAAAGCTGACCACAAATATGGTCCAAGGAAAATAATGAACAAAGAGGGACAAGACAGCATTATAGAATCAAAATAATTTGGTGGCAGAAGTATATACCTCGAACATTGGGATCTAAATGATCTCTGTCGCCTATAGATGGGGAACTTGATATGTTCTCACTAATTAACCTTAATGTTCTGTTGTCAACTATCCTGTCAACAAGAAAACAGCATCCCAATTAGCACAATTATCAAGAGAAAGCAGTCTGCGAAGCCAGTTTTTTAACCAAGAGCAGAAGTACCCCAATTTTAGAGGATCGACGCATTCCATGCCACGAGGAAAAGACTGCAAACTATTAAGATCCTTTTTTGGGACTGCTGTCTTCTCCTGCTCAGGCATTTGAGTGGTTGCAACCACTCTTGCCTCCCTCATCTCACGAACCCTGCGTCTTAGCTGCACGATATTCAATCTATGAATCTCTTTATCTATTCAAGCATGTTTAATAATCAATAATTGTGCAGAAACAGAAACACCAATAACAAAATAACCAATAACACAAATACATATAGCTCCTTATGATTATGTTTCGGTGAGCTCCATATTGATATGACAAGACCACAAGAACAAAGACTAATTCCCCTAGATGAACAATCCAAGCATAAGTGAATTCCAATAATTATTCAGAAGCAAAATGAGCAACCATAGAGTAAACATACATATAAAAAGAACATTACTATAGATAGTAAGCAACTATAGATATGTGCAAACAGGTTATCAATTGAAGCAAAAAAAATTATTGTATACTTAAAACAGAGTTACTAATAAGTTAGGCGCAGGCATTGATTCAGTGCAAGCACTAATTCAGCAAAGTGTGCACCTTTTTCCTTATAGGTTCTACTTTAAAAGAGAAGAACTAAAAATGAACAGTTCCTCAAAAATTATCAGTACTGGAAAGGCCCTGGCATTACGGGGAATCTAGGAGGACTTGCTCAAACAAATATCAACCATCAGTAACAATGAGTCCACAGAGCAGTAGCAGCATCAGTCAACATAGACATACCTCAGATTCATCAACACGTTTCCAGGAATCAGGTTCACCTCCATCCCACAATCCATCATCCTCCTGCCCAGCTCTTCCTCCGCCACTAACCACCCGATTCCTCGACCCAAACCCGCGATCCTTGGACGAATCCTCATCACCAGATGATATACTCAACATCTCGATTTCCGAGTCATCATCATCCTCCACAGATTTCCTCTGGTGACTACTACTCTTATTACTAGTCTTCTGCATCGCGGCGGCGGCAACACTAGGGTTCTTCCTCTCCGACGTAGCACCACCGCCCGGTCTCAAATTGGGCTGCGACGGCGGCTGAACGAAGTTGCGAACTGGTTTTGAAGGTTGCTTAGATGGTTTATGGTAATTGATATTGCGTTGTGCTTGCTCCTGTAATGCGATCTGTAAAAGCTCGTCTTCGTCGTCAGTGTCGGTTGACATTATTTATAGTATTTGAAGATTATTAAAGTATACTATTCTCGTGAAAAAATTAAATGGAAAATTATAGATGAGTGTTGTTGAATTTTCTGTGATCTGTGGGTTGAGAATTGTGATAATTAGTTTAATTTTTTCTGTTGGGGGGTTGGTGTGTGTGTGTGCTAATAGAAAGGTGAAATGTACAGGGGAAGTGGGGAAGAAGGAGGGTATAAGGAGAGAATCGGGTGTGTTGGTAATATGAGTTGGAATTTTACAACTTTTTTCCTTTGATTGCCGCATCGTATTTTCGGCAGAGCGGCACATTCATCTACGGGTGAAATTGCTAATCTTCTAGGGAGTGATCATATTGAACGGCTCACAATTTTGAAATAATCGAATTTCAATAATATTGAAAAAAAAGACGCTTATAATTTTACATCATCATAGGTGATATTGCAAATCAATATTTTGTGGCTTTGATATTAGGATGTAGGGAAGTTCAAATTAATAAGATTATGACTAAATATTAAGTATTAGAGTAAATAATAGACTTAACTATTTTATAAATTTCAAGCACATGTTTGACGTAATATTTTTATCTTGCTCTTTGTTCAAGAGTTTGTACTTTATAAAAATACGTTTGTAAGTAATGAATGTGTACATATTATAATATTAATATTCAGGAGTTGATCCATGTTGAGCGAAGGGGTGTTGTGTCGAAAATTTTATTATGTATATCAATACTATATATAATTATGTATAATAAAATGATACTTTCTGACAGTAGAAGTATAAAGGTGCATTGGTTTACAGTTTGGTTTTAGTATTTTGGATCGCGGGTTTAATCCTCAAGCAAAGCTTTTTTTGGCAAAATATATACTCATACTAAAATAATATGATTAAATAGTCTTGAACCTAGACCTCCTTTAGCTTAAAACTAATGTAAACCAATGAGTCAATGACATAATTTATTTATAAATACAATAGTTAAATTTTAACTGTTAATATTTCTTCATTCTTTGATGCACTTTATTTGATTCACGTCACATATTATCATTATTTTATGCTTATCCATATTTTTCCACTTGTTTTTGTTGTTTCTATTTTTCACTAGCATCATAAAATAAAATACAATTTAATTTTTTATTTTAATTTAATTTAAAAAATAAAAAATACTTAAAAAATCTATAGCCAAAAACACCTTAGTTTTTTTTTTGTTTTTTTTAATAATAAATAAACAGAATCCCTAAGCCTTACATATTTTAGTGCAACATGTATGATTGAACAATATTATTGGCATTCCTGTTCAAGTGCACATACTATTTTTTTTTCTACATTTATGCTTCAGAAAAAAGGATAAAAAAGACATTTTCGTGTAATAAGCTTATATGGTCATCCAACGATGTCTAATAAGCATTCATGATTATTTTAGCTAAAAAAATATAATTTTCGACACCTATTTAATGATCGTGACAATTCTAAATTTTTAAGAAAAATAATTTAAAAATTAAAATTAATAGACCTAACCCACCCTAAATTCGACTCATAATTTATCCGACTCCAGCCCTAAATTCGACTCATAATTTATCCAACTCACTTAAAATCGATTATATAAGAAATACCTAATTCTCTTAGGGTTACAAGCACACAACTTCTTCTAGATGGCATATCTGTTTGAGCTATGTGCTTGTAGCCAAGGGTATGGGCCCACTTTGATATTAGTTTTGTTTTACTAATTTATTCGTCTTACTTTTCGTTTTAATATGTATGTTTAGATATTAAGTATTATAAATTATAATAATTAACAGCTTAATATATTCAGTTATAGATTTTAAAAATACATATAAAGTATTATAAATTATAACAATTAACAACTTAAAAAAAAATTTAAATATATTAAAAAAATTGATTGACTCTTGTAATTCTATCGTAGTAACAAATTTCATTTAAAAATTATGAAAAAATACTATAAATGTTACTTGTTAGTCAACAACCTATGAAAGAAAACAATGATATGAGAAGTAGAAATCATCTTGCAGAAAAAATTAGCTTGATTCTAAATGGATGACATTACAAAAGAACTTTGATAACAATAATAAGCCAGAACTTCTCTATTCAACATTTTATTGTTGATGAGAAATAGATACTTCAAGACAAAAAGTTAGAACAACCAGTAATGTGAACGTATTATCGCGTCACAGCAGCTATTGTGCAACATAAACAGTAACAACTTGCTGTAATTTGAGAAATTTGATATCTGCACCAGCAAGAGTAGTGAAGTGATTACATGGTATAGATACATCTATCAGTTTTGCTCTTCAGCAGCGTAGAGCTTTTTGATCTCCTCAACGTCATCATAACTACCAAGAAATATAGGAGAGCGTTCGTGTATCTTCTCTGGAACTAAGTCAAGTGCCTGCATAATAACATTACTACGAGTGTCATGTTCAAATAATAAAACAAAACGTTAGCTTCTTGTATTATTATACTGTGACTAACAGACAGAATTCTCAGAAATTGTACCCGTTGCTTCCCAGTAAATGCTTGGCCTCCTGCTTGTTCCATCAGAAATGACATGGGAAATACTTCATAGAGAACCCTATTTCATATATTTCATTAGCAAAGGTTTCTGTGAGTTATTGCAAAGGAAATTCTTCAGTGACTCCGAAAATGTGCATAACGTACCTCAGCTTCCCGTTGGGGCTTTTCTTATCACCGGGGTACAAGAAGATGCCTCCATAGAGTAATGTACGATGAACATCAGCAACCATACTGCAAATTTGAGCTCAGGTTTGACTAAGTTGATTAACAATATGTCCATGGAAACAAAAGCTATTACATACAAAGTTAACAATTCCAAAGACATAGGGAAATCACAAGAAAAGAACAAACAAACTAAAATTGAAGCAACATCAGTCCCAATCTGCTTTACAAGAATCCACTGAACTCTTTGCACGAACGGTCAAATAGAGGATTCGTTTAATAAGAAATCCAACAAAAAATCTTCATTTAACCCCGTCTGCGGATGTAATGTGAACCTTTTAACATTTGAATATTTCAACCACAGTTGGCTTAAAAGAGTTCTAAGATCGTCAAGTAATGATTCCTAAAATTGTAGCTATCAGTTGGAAATGACCAGCGATAAATACATATCAAGTTAAAAAGTATAGATAATGGAAGCCTGACTTTATCTCTTTGAAGAAGGAAGAACAGGGAGCTTGATATTCCGTACTGTTCTATGCCCAAAAACGTAATAAACGTAGATCCAAACTCAACAGAGCTCATCTTCAACCATTTTTTACATATATAGAGAGTTTCAACTTTACAGCACATCTCAAATTTTTTCATGATGCTGACATTACTGCCTAGTATGTCAAGTAACAGAAATTCCGTCATGATTATATGGTTCAGATTGCAGGTTGGTGAATTGGATCATACAAGACATGGTAACAACACAAACTGTGCAATCTAAGCATCTATGAAGTTTTTAATTACCTTCCAATATATCTCAAAGATTTTGGTGAAGAACCATCAGCGGGATACTTGCAGCTCTGCACATATCTGAAATTAAAAGAATAATAGGATATGAACATGGGAAACAAACTTATTAGCTATTGCTTTCCAATAAGCGTACTTGGATGTTGGACCGTCCCAGTTCTTGGCATTTCCTTCATTCACTGAATAAATCTTCCCTTTCTTAGGAATCTGCACGTAAAAGCAAAACGAAAACCATGTTAACCAGAAATCATAAAAGGAAATAGGGCCCAGATATGCTAAGCCAATCGTATGTTAGGCAGTATGTGTTACTAATTAACAGAACTGAAAGTTGATTATGTGTGGTCCAAACGCCATTCAAGTCTACAACCCGAGAGAAGCCAGTAGACCATATAAAACACACTTAAGATTAATAAAAGATTATCTTGATAGCATTTTCTAAAAATTGATTAGAACATTTTCCATCAAGATTATCAACTTTAAGTTCTACGACAATCTTGAGTAATGAAGTAATGATCAAGATTATTAGTCAACAACAAGTTCTATGTGCTAAGGCGATACAAGGAGCTAAGGAATGGCGTTACCTTGATGTCAGGATGAGTTAGGATGAACTCGCCAAGAGAGGGATCAAGGGTAAAACCATTAACTCCAGATCCAGTGCTCAAAACTAGCTGCAAACAACGGAGATCGGAAAATCTTATTACTTGTATTTCCAACTCATCATTGTCTTTAAAGAATTAAAATACTCAGAGTATATTAAACTTAAACGTGAGCTACATACCGTACAAGAACTTCCATACATGCAGTAACCAGCAGCTAACATGTTCATCCCAGGTTGCAAGACATCATCTAGTGTTGGTTCATGACCGTCTTTGATCATGTAAATTCCAAAGATCTATATAATGAGACATATTATTCATTGTGACATGAAAAAGGATATAGTGGTGGATAGCCAAGTAACAACAACATAAATATTTAGAATCATACCGTTCCAATAGAAACACCACAATCGATGTTCGATGATCCATCCAGAGGATCAAAAACTACACAGTATCTGTCATTAAAATTGCATCAATGGATTAGTAATTAGTTCTTAAAACATAATGATAAATGTCAAACTAGAGAGATCGAACAATGGCACTCACTTTCCACGGTTAGCTGGCTCCACAAATGTGGCTTCTTCATCTTCTTCAGAGACAAGAATGCACTACATAATTTGACATCTTTTAGATTAAAATCACCATTTATTTTCACAATGTGTACTAATAAAATGAGTGTCTCGAGTCTTACTGTTCGGCCACTGCTAACCAAAGCCTTGATAAACACTTCATTTGAGAGTACATCAAGTTTCTTTTGATCTTCTCCCTACAATTAGAAATCAAAACCAGAGTAATTCCAAAGTTGAAACGGATTGGAAGCTTTAATATTATAAGAGTAGTGTCTTCATGAACTTGCCTGCACATTAGTCTCACCAGCAAGTCCTAGAAGTTTGGCTAAACCTGCCTGGAAAGATGTATCGACTTGTAAATATATCAATACAGGAGTAAACGGAAAAACATAACAAGGTATAATACATGTTACACAAAAACGGATTCATTCTACGGAAGCTTCCTCTGCCTTGTACATTTGTAATAACGAAAAATTAGTTAGAAACAACTACTGAGCTCTATCCATCAGTACCTGCAGTTTCTTTTCTTGCACTACAATTTCATTAATCTGCATCGCTGAAAATAATACAGCAGATAGAAGAGAGGAGGAAAAATTGATATTCCTCCACTAAATTTTGGCTGCTATAAGGCAAATAAATCTGATGCATATTTCTAAAAAAAAACTTGTTAGATTTCTCATTTTTGTGATTAATGTGTTATTGGAGTCAACATGATGTATGTAAATATAGCTGTTCTGGTCAAATACATTCACCTGAAAAATCAGGTAGACATGAATGAATGATTACCAAAACTAATCGAGTTAATTCCTCTGATGGTAAACTACAACCAAAATCACTTCTATGTTCTTTTATCAACAAAATCATCCAACTATAGCTTCTTTTTTTTCACTCAGATAAGTAAGAGGCACCACAAATGCAGTGGTTGGCATGTCATATCATATTAAAACACATTTTTTTAATGATAAGACTCCCTTAACGCATACCCCTTGTTTCTTAACCTGAGACCCTGACTCGTATAATAAAAGAAAAACAAAAACTGCCATGTTTTTTTATAATCCTTATATCTAAGTCAGTTTGCCCACGCCTCAAATCACTATTTTTACATAGGTTTTCCCCACAGCGAATTAGTGGGAAATATTGAACCACAAGCACTTAGCTGTGATCATTGAATAAGCTATGCTATAGAACATGATTTTTCCACTCATTTTTTACTGAACTAGCTTACTGAGAAGAAATGATATAGTATAAATTTGAATCTAAGATATATTCACAACGTGGTTGGGTTACTAGTAGACGCCACCTTTGTACAATCAATTGGATAGAGAAACATGCAAAATTAAAGCGTCACCCTCTTCAATAACCACACACAAATTAAATGAAAACAAACAATCAAAACAGAGAAGTTGATATCCAAAAAAAAAAAAAAAAGGAAAAACCTTGTTAACAGCAGTGCATACGAACTTGCAGCCAAGAACAATGTGACTGAGCAAAATACTGAAGTCTCCACGGGATTCAGGGTGCTTCGTCTGCTCATTCAACACAAACCTTGTTATCGTCATCAAATCCGTCCGGTGTGCATCCGCCGCGTGATCCATCGTGCTTCGATTTTTATGTAAGAGATTGGGCACGCAGTACTACTAAAATGCTCATATATATATATACAGAAAAAAAAAAGAAGAGGAATCTGATCTGACGTCAGAGGATGCCACGTGGAAAGAGGAGAGTGATGCATGGGATCAGTGGTTGGCACTAAGATAAAGCGTGATCCAATTCTGACTTCTGTTAACTGATTTGTTTTTCGTCTCTGCTTAATTTGTTTCTATCTCTCACTGGCTGCCTAGCTCTTCATTATCCACGTCACATATAATGATATTTCAGTGAGTTATCTTACAGGATTATTGAAAAAATAAATATCTCTACATAGATATTACTAGTATTCAATTTTGTTTCTTTTTATAAAATATATATATTGATATCTGAGTGGGCGTATATCAAATTCATCCAAACTCGTAACAATGGACGGCGAAAGCATATCGAGATAAATATCCTTTAATCGATGATATGTTTGGATGATTGTTACGTATTTTTTGATATACAGTGTAGGTACTAACCGGGCTATCTAATCTGACGGCAAAGGAAGTGTAGGATGACACGTGGAAAGAGGAGAATGATACATAGGATTAGTGGTTGGCACTAAGATAATGTGATTCTCGTCCTTATGCTAACTTCTGTTCTTTTCGAAACTCATTATTTGTTCTCTTTATTACATGTTTTGTTTCTATATCCCACTGGCTTGGCATGGGTCTTCTTTACCCACGTCACATATTTCCTGGACTTCATAACTTTTGAAAATATAATGAATTGGATAGGAGTAATAAATTGTTTCCGATAGACCATCGGCACACTCAAATAGGATAGAAAATACAGTATGATTTTACAACATAATCTTTGGTTTCCTCCATTTTAATTAAGCTGAGGAACATGTTGATCTAAGAAAGCCTGAGCCAAATTACTGAAGCTTGTACTAACTCCACCTGCAGCTGCATAACTTTTGATTGCATCAATTACTTCAGGCTTTAAGATCTCTTCCTTGTTTGATGCATTGCATAGATAATACAATGCTCCTAGAGCATAATTCACCTGCCCAGTTTGAAGTTCATTTGTGTCAAATCCATGCACATACACCCATATACATTGAGCCCGTGGAAGAGCAATGTTTTTCACCGGGGTGGGGGTGGTTCAGAAACAAATATGTAAAAACACATAATGAAGCCCAACGGATTTCAACATCTACTAATATAATTTAGATTTAGCTCCCTAGATCCCGCCCCCCCTGTGTGATCTATATGCATATTCAAACAGGTATCATTTTTTATTGTTCGGATAAATATGAGGAGAGCGACATTCATATTCTGTAATTGCTTACCTTGAGAAGTAAAATTGACCACCAAAGTGTAAGCCAGTTTGAGACTGACGGAACACAATTAGTAAATTTTGAAAGTCTTCGTGTGCAAAAAAGCTAATTCCAGAATGAGGAAACAACATTTTATTCTGGATACAGCCTAAAGTAACAGAAGTTCGTATGATGCCAAACATTTTTTTTTTTTTAAAAAAAAAAAAGACCAAGTTCAATAGAGGTGACATGTCTGATGCCTAAAATATTCTTATCAAAGTTATCGACAAGATTGACGGATCAATGGTACTCAACAGTTGAGTTTCTCACTACGTATATGTGCAATTTTAACAAGTGAACAGCAAGCACTCAATAACCAAGAAGACCACAAAATGTTTGTTTATGTCGTTACCGTGTTCCTAACAGGACTTGACAAACACTGGATGACGAGAGGGATACCATCATTTTGAGTGACAAGAGCAGCATTAGCTGGATCTGCAAGCACAAACGCTTATTGAGTTAACTTTTTGGAGAAGATCACAGGAAGTCTACTGTGATTCGAAGCAGAGCCAACAAAAACAAGTTCCAAATCATGGAATCAACATAAATTCCAAAAGCTTTGATCTTTACCAGCACAAGCATTGCAGATTCCTCCAATCCCAAATTCCACAAGCTTCTCACTAGGCTCAGTTAAACAGTCGAGAAAAAGTTCTATAGCATTAAGCTGTTTAATATTACAAGACATGTTGAGGCAACCAGAAGAGAAAAAGATGATTGAATAACAAAATTAAACTACTCATCAGAAGATTCTTGACCTGGCGCAAAAAGGTAAAGTTGAAAGGATCATATGCAAAGTTCGCCAAATTAGCAACAATCTTCTCTTTTGTCTCTGTAATAACAAGAATGAATCAAACCATATAGATGCCAAAAAAAGAAGTGAAAAAAGCAGATTGTAGTTAATCAATTGGCTACCATATATGCTATAATCTTGACAAGCGTGAAATTAACTTTCCACTTAACAGCCACAAAAGTTTAAGACTAACAGACTCTATTAGTTAGCATTACTGATTGCTCTGTTGGTCCAATCATTGATAGCGAAACTTTCAACAAAAAATTGGGTAGGCCGCTAGTATAGTTTCTGAGGTAGTAAAATTTTATGTTTCCGAAGGATCTTTCTTGGTATTAAAGTCTTCAATCTGTGATGAAGTAGCCCATTCTTCATCTATGCAAAGATGAATTACTGCTTCTTCAACCGAGATGTTGGCCCAAGAAAGCAAACTCCCATTATATACCAATCTTCTTCTCAGGCTGCTATTGGCATGACAACATTGTCTCGCTGAGCAGTGCTTTCTCATGGAGGAAAGACAGCGGATAATGATAGGACAGACATCTTAGTAATTACACAGTTATTCCTATAATTTTTTTAGGGGATAAATGTAAGTCATATTGCTATAGCGAACAGATATCTGTTGGTCAGAGTAACAGTTGCTTTGTTACTAGACATCTTGCTTGAAAACTCAAAACCCACAATAAATCACCGTAACTTACAAATATGAACACAGCTTCCTAGTGACTTGACAGTATTAATGCTACCTTGTTCTTATGTTAATATAAACATTATTGTAAGCTAGAAAACACATATGAACTCCCTAATGAAAATATTGCACTTGACTAAACAAGGTCCATATGATATTCTGATAGTACATTTTGTCTCATTTCAGCAATCCAAGTTGGGTAGATACAACGCAAATCAGTTGAATAAATCTCTAAGCATACCTTCAGCAGAAGCATTCTGAAACTGAGTCACCAATTCCTGAACAAGAATCAAAGAGCTGATTGGGCAAACAAGAAAACAAGATCTATGCTAATAAAGGAATTGTTATGCACAATTTTTACTTAGTATCAACATAAAGTTTTGCAGTTCCAGTGTTCTTTCTCTCATAGCGTCAGGTAATCAATATAGTGAGTTGCAGGATTAACCTGAAGGTACTTCACCCTTGGAGTCCCATATTTTCCGGTGCGCTCTTCTTGCCTTTGGCTATTTGTAAACATGTAAACTGCAATAAGGGAAGAGGAACATATAAAAATTAAACATTTTTAACATTTAACAACCATACACAGACTAAGAGTACAGCAGCCATATAACTATGCATCATGCAAATAGGATTTGGTACTACATATAAAGTCTCATTTACTGTTAGAGCAATGGAAACGAGCTAAGAGAAACTCCTGTAGGAAAAAGCAATTATTAATCCTTGTATTAATAAGATCATTCTTCTTTTCTTCTCAACCCTTGCCACAACCGAAATCCCTCTCACTGTTGCACCCTCAGCTCCTCTTAACCAGTCCCAAATGAATCTTCCTTTCTCATAGCCTCAAATCCTCCACTTTCTGTTCCTGTTTGCATATAAATTTAGATACACAAATTATGATAAACTGGAGATTTCTCCTAGAACAAACTCTCACTCAACTCTGGCTCAATCCCATACTAGTTATAGGTTGACTATGAAATCTTCTATATCCATTCCTCTCTGGTCAGGTCTATATCATTCAATTACTAAATAATTTTTCCTAAACCATAAATTAGGGATTCTCTCTATCCCAAATTTCTCCCCTACAAGTTAGCTAGTTTAACCACAAAGTCACAAATATCTATCTCTTGCTTCTGCAGTATTCAATTCTAACTGGTTACTACAAGTTAATGAAACTTTTCCTCTCAAGCAAAAGAGCCAATAACTTAAAGCCAAAAAGGAAGGAAAACTTTGATACTTTCAGCAAATTCAAGATCACCCCAATGTCTAATAATTAGATTCCTTTGATAGACACAATGAATTGAAATGAAAGGAAAAAGAAACATAGTGCTTTTAACAAACTAAAGGTGCTAAGAGGATTTTAATCGACTAAATTAAACGGTTGAGGTTAAATTGAAAATTACAATACGAAGCAGACTAAAGATACAGTCCTATTCAACAAACAAGTGAAATCGAATTTCCAGTACCACAAAAGAAAGTGTGTTTAAACTTGAACAAAGAGCTAGGAGTGAGAACATGAATGATGAATAAAATCAAGGCTCATTTTGGCCTTCACTATGCTTTTCAACTGTGGATAGTTAAGTACAACATAGTTGAGCACCTAAATTTTGAGCAATTTGAACAACTCGAACGTTCTCACTAACAAACAAGAAAGAAGTACATAGTTCTTAGTTTAAAGGAATGAAAAATCAATGCAGGATACCCATAATTCAATGTGCACGAAACATCTTACACAGTAGTCACCGGTGGCAGACTTACAGTTTCTCTTATGGACTCCGCAAAACCCAATAGCTTCGTCCTAGACTCAGTATTTGTGTTAAACGCCACATATTAAATGGCATATATTTCCATACTAGATAGGTAATAGCTTGTGTTCAGCACGGACCCAACGTTGATGACTTGGTTTTCTATCTGTTCTAAAGAGTTCTTTTTATCGGTAAATACGACATTTTATTAATCATAAAGAAGTACTTAGTGTTATTGGATACAAAGAGGATCCGAGTAGAAGTAGGAGGATATAGAAAACTTATATTATATACATCTTTAGTGTTGGTTCAGACATCCATCAATCACAAACATTTGTATTTGAATTCCAGGACTGAATTTTCAGTTTTTTTTTTTTTAAATGAGTAACTTTGTATCATATCAGGGATCAAAACAGTACTTGGGTAGTACTG